CTCCTCCCCCCCAGAAAGCCTTGAGCCTTCCCTATTCATCAACGTCTCCCTCGTTTACGGGCCCCACCAGGCAGGGAGTCCGGCTGCAGGTCACAGCTTCCGTGCCGCCTGGAATGGTGACTCCTGTGACTCACTGGCCGAGGACAGGGAGGCCTTGCCAAGCTACACGTGGTCCGGGGTGAAAAGTCAACATCCCTCCCTGACGGGTGCAGTTCTCATATTTAGTTTAAACCATGAATGCCCAGACAGCAGTCGACTCCGGGGCCGAGTCTGTTTGCTGTCAGGGGGACTTTCTCATCAGAAACAAGGACCTGCAGCCAACTGTGCTTTAAATATGAACAGATGCATGAACGATCTTCAACGTAACAATTTTTAAAACTTGAGCGGTTGGTGACAACAAAACTACTTCCAATCAAGGAAAGCACGGACGAGTGTTCTTTAAACCCTTACAAATGACCTCTCTATACTGATTGGAGGAATCCCCTTTCTGACGGCAGCAGCCTCTATCGTGGCATCGTGCCACAATAGAGGCTGGAAGAGGTAGAAGAGTTCCATTCTGTGGTGCTTCATGTAGGAACAACTGAAGTTGTGAACCAAGCGAAAGTCTGAATGTTGGGTCACAGTGGCACTGTGGTAATGATTGCCCATAACTATGATGTGTGCAGCTCTTGGATTGCACTGTTAGAGTTAGAGTGCACTGATACAGCTCATAGCACGTCATATGTGTTGTGAACCAGGTCATATATATATATATAAAAATATATAATGAGCAAATACATAAACCATATTTAAAACTGATAATCTGGAGATTTTAAGAGGACGACTGTTTTCTTATCAGCATTTTTGTTTTGATGTTTACGTAATAACACCGTCATAATAACACGCTACACAGGTATAATTACTTATTTTTGAAGCTTTTGTAAATCTAGACAACTTGAGTATTTACATTCTATTCATTGAAATGTAGATCAGAATGTTAGATTTAAAACATGTGTTTTTTTAAAGAAAACACAAAGCATTTTAAATTAGCAACAGTGATACAAGGAAAATAATTCTTCACCAAGCACGTTTAGTTGACAATACTTCTACTGAAACAGTAGTATTTTTATAGTATTTCTTATTTTTTACGACCAGTGATACGTACGGGACTGCCCCCCCCCACCCCCCCTCCAAATCTGTTCTCAGTCTGCCGTTCACCGCAGGGAGTGAAGTGTGTTGGTAACACATTCCTGTGGCTTCATTCACACGTTCACTCCCGAAAACACTAATTCTGAGCAAACTGTGTAATGCTGGCACAATGATACGTTCATCAGTTCAAATGCAAGAAATTAACTAACAATCCTTCAATTGAATAGAAAGAGCTGCGTGAGAAAAACATATTCTGGTTACGAAACTACAGGAAAAGGACCAGACATTTTGAATCCATGACTCTAGAACCAGGAGGCTACTGTATCATAACGTAAATGGCTACTTTTCCTCTTTTAAAGGCAATTGTCGTTGCAGTAGATGCTGTTCGCGCTTTACTCATTTTGGTGCAGGACATTACTATCTGAACAGCAATAATGTTCTGCTGTAGTACGACAGCGGCACACGGTGTTCTGGTCATCTGATAATCAAGTGCGTTGATGTTTATAATTTTGTGGTGCGAAAGATGATCGTTTACATCCGAGGTCGACTACCAGAGCCCCCCCTCCTCCGGTTCTAGCATGTTTATCTTCCAAATATATATTCCTGCTCCGAAGAGGAGAACCTTTGAGTCGGCTTGGCTGTGTCTCCTGTTTGCAAACATTAGACGTCCTGTTTTGATGATTTTACATCGGTGTCGAGTGAGAACAGAACTGCACAGAGACGCTGAAGGAAAGAAACAGGCAGGGATTGTGTTTGTAGTCCAAACTAACATGGCAACCTTCAGCTTGCTAATCTGAAACTGAGAGGGCAAATTGAATTTGCATCTGCAAACAGTCTCCTGATTGATGATTGCTTAAAATACGCCCCTGTGTTCAAATGCCTAAATGCTGGCGGAGGAATTCCTATAGAGTCTGTGTTGTGCTTTGGGTCTCTTTCAACTCGCAAAGTCAAATTTAAACGACTAACATCAAATAAGAGTGTGCACTCTGAGGAAACAGCTTTGCTCAGGCAAATGGAAAAAATAATTCACAAAGCTGTTTTGTCTTTCACCATCACACAAGAGTACACGTGAATCGAGCTGCTTGTCTGAACCAATTTACTGTTTCTTTTATTAGAAAATCAAAGCGCAGCAAAGTGATCCTTAGTGGATTTAGTCTGGCTTTTAGTTAATGTTCATGACTAATGTTCAAATCCTGTGACCCATGGTGACACGCATTAGGCTGAAGTAGTGTGGAAGAGGCCGAGGGCTCACCTGCATTCAGCCTTTAATTAAAGGCTAGCGAGGGCAATGAGCGACGGAAGGAACAGAGCAGCGCTTCAAACCACCTCTTCGTTGACTCTAACAGATGCACATGTTTGTTAAAGCTGAAATAAGATTGCTTTAAATTGCATCTTTTAATGACTCTTCCTCCGTATTCAGGCTGATTAGACAACGCTTAGACGAAGATCACAAAGTGAGCCGGCATTTAGCAGAAGATTGAATGTTCTTTTGGCAGGGAGAGATTAAACACACAACTAACACCTGTTCAGTGCATAATTCAGAGGCAAAAATGATCATTGCATGATTTATGCCATATGGAATATGACAAACCTTACCATTTTTTTTTTTTTTTTTTTAATGAAGCATATGGCTTTCACAAATGTAAGGACACAAATCGCTGCCTTGTATATGGGTATCACGAACTAAGTGTAATCAAAGATTCAAGTACTCATAATGCAGAATTTCTTTGTTTTTTTAAAGAAATACTAATGCGTCATTATTACTGGTTGAAATAGTATTGTACTGTTGTTCAAGTGTAGCTAGTTCTTACTGCTGGATTATTCAGTCCATTGTAATGCATCATGGATTATCAATTAGGGCTGTCGATAGTATTAGTTTGAAGTGCCAAAAATCTTCCCACATTTAGCAGGACGTTTTCAAACCACGGCCCTTTAGGGACACAGTGGTGGTCCTCTGCAGACTGGGTGCCGCGCAGGGAAGGTATTGAGGTGGAAGTAGCCTAGCAGCTAGCTTAGCATAGCGGTTCTTTAAGGGGTCCGTTTGCCTCTCACCCCCCTTCAGTTTGGCACGTGATGGAATCCCTCTGCACAGTTCTCCGCTGTCTATTTTACTTCCAATGCAAACTCTCTCTCTCCATCACCAGCTTTCTCCGACGTAACTGACTGCAGCTCCTACAACTTCTGAACTGGAGGTAAACAAAGGTATGTGAACTACTTAAAATATATTTATGCATTAATGGCATGGATTAACATGTTTATGTTGACAGCCAAATTATAAAGTAATCCTACAGTTTTAAAATAAAAAATCAATATGTAAGGTCACAAATAACTTTTCAACTGCATTGTAGAGACAAACAGTAAAAGAAGAAAACACTAGCAAAGTAAATTCCCTCTTATTTGTACTTATTACTTGATATATAAATAAAGTTAATTTTTTCCACCATTGGTTGTTATAAAATATTCTTTGATATCACAAAGCTGCCAGATGCTAACCGCGTGAACGGATAACATTAGATGCTAATATCACATTTGCATTGAAGAATAAAAGATGTTGTATAAAACACGTATGACACATCTGACCTGAAACTTGATACAATGCTGTTTAATTATGATGTAAGCTGGAAAGTTTCTATGTTGCACGTCAAAAAAATCAACGTAACACCGTCCTTAAATCGCAAGATATTTTAGCATAGATTTGAAACACATTAATCCGCTCAGAAATGAAATACAATAACAGGACATGTTAATACATCATTTTCCCACTTAACACTGTAACTATTGGAAGCTGCGCTACAACTTGTGTCCTACAGTGACTTCCTGTTTAGGAATCGATTGCTTTTAAACTGAAGCTCAGCTCAGATTCAGCAGCAAATTCATTGTTACAGGCCATTGTCCAAGGGGACACACAAAGAACAAACTGTCTCCATACTTGTTCCTGTGCGTTTGGGGAATCTGGAGTGTTGTTAACCCACAAACTATGAAATAACGCAACCCAGTCAGTTTTAGGAGTGCAACCTTAGGACATACTGCCCACGGCTCAAGAACCACCATCACAAAGGTGCACCACACGTGTCTTGCAAGCCAACAGGTTTGGCTTTTCTTGAAGCGGCAGAGTGAACGGTGATTCCAGCTATGACAGACAATATTTTCTGTTCATTAAAGCATGAACTAAAATGGGTACGACATGTCCAATGTTAAACTTTTAATGGCGCAACAGGATTTGGCAAGTCTCTGGTTTGAAACCAGCCAATAGTTAAAACAACCTTACATTGTGGTTGAGTGCTAAATGAAAAGGGGCGAGATGAAACCTTTCATGGTGCTTGTTAAACAAAACAAATGGAGGGGAGAGAGGATTTCAGTGGCAAAGCCTTCCAAAAAAGTGGGGATTTTTTGAGAAACATAAATCTGCCATTCCAAAAACCAGAGTGGCACAGCCTCATGTGTTCCAGCTGCATACATGTGGTTAATTGTCAGGGTGAATTAGGATTAAGCTAATGTGGGTTTTTTAGCAGGCTGGAGGCTGCAGAGGCAACATTGGGATGTGGTCGTTGGGAAAACGTTGGGCTTTGCCAGTAGATTCCGGTCTGGGATTGAATTGTGCCATACAAGTCGAATAGGAGGACGTCCTGGATTTTCCCCAGAATGCTAAAATGAGACGTTTCAAGCTTGCCATATAGAAAAAAGGGGATAATTTAGCCAGGTTCAGTACAGCAGAAATCTTTCGTCCAGCATAACTAGTGTCTCACCCAAAAAAACATTCACCGTTCATCTACTTTGACTTTAGCCTAACTTCTTGCCAGCGCTCAACATTCGCATGTAAAAGACAAAAGACGTGAGAACAAACCTTCCTAAACCAAATAAAGAGTGATCGCTCAAATCCAATGGCTCTTTTATTTTCAAAAGGCTTCACTTAAGTATTTACAGTTTGTGCAAAAACATTTAAAGGTTTGTCAAGGACTTTACATTGTAAGTTCAACCTCAAGGCACGTACATGGAACAACATCAATATTTCATCATGAGAACAGAAATTTAACTTTGGTTCCTAAGAAAACGTGGTGTGGGCTGCTAACGTGACACTGTAGCGTCCTGATGGGGAGGAGAAACCCCCCCACGGCTGTTTCACATGCACTGAAAGTCTGAAGCGTCCTCCCTCTAATCCTTTGATTGCTTCACAAAAAAAGTCCAAGGCCCAATATGGAAAAAAAAAAGAAAGGCAATGAAGCTAAATACAGTACATGCAAAACCCCTTTGATGGATGTTTCTGTCTGATGGATATTAGCAGAGAAGCTCGGGCCTGCAGGAAGAAAAGACCAATTTACACGTTCTTAACCACTTATGTGTTTTCTTTGATTTGACCTCTGAGAGATAAAACATGATCATTTCAACGAGCTTTCAGATTAATTAATTTGCCCCTGAAAACGGAATAACCGGACGTTTGCACTCTGTGATACGTTTTGCGTAATTCCATTGGTCATGCCCCCCCACACCCCCCGCATTCTTTATTAAAGCCAAAAGAGAATTAGGAGTAATGTCCGCTGACTGAATCACCTGCTTAAAATGTGGAAGAACAGCCTGTCGTAAGCTCCCGCGCGTACATGCTTGGTGTTGTTCTTGGCGTTGTAGTCGCCACCGCTGCAAAAAGTTGGACAAATGTGCTTTCTAATTACTGTCTCCTCCCATCGCATCTTGTCTTCCTCCCACTTAAACGCTCCGTCATTCGCTCTCTGCATTAGAGGTAAGGCAAATATCATCAGCTGGGTCTCGGTTACACATTCAGAGAGAGAGGGGATGTGATATGCTGGAACTCTTTGAGCCACCCTCACCCCCACCCTCACCCTCCAACGTCACTGTTTGATCAGCACGTAACTTCAAATAGGGATCCCATCTCAAACAAAGAAATAATGACTAAATCCTATTTATGTAGATGTTGAAGTGTGTCTGAGTGGTCAGCTGTGGGTAATAGTAGAAAAAGAGTTAAAGTAAAAAGAGATGCTTTGATAACCACAGAAGATCTTCGTACGGCACAAGTGGCATCTACTTATTTTAGGCTAATACATATTTTTCCCTTTAAGGAAAAATGTTTTGTACATTACAGGGCTGTAAATTAAATATGAAGCTAACATTAGCAGACAGTTGGCTCAGTATCTAGAAAACAGCAAGCCTATGTCTGTTTAAAAGTAACAAAATCCACCCATCCATCGTCAAACCGCTTATCCTGCTAAATCCAGCACATCTTAAATATTCTTGTTTGTTTAATACACACAAAAAAACAAGTTGTAAAATTGACACTGTGCTTTTATGGTAGATTTTCCTTGATAGTAATCTGTGTCCTGTCTAAACAAGCTGCTATCATTAACTTGATATCTAGCGTACAAACAGGGCGATATCAATCTTCTAATTAGTTGTCTTGATGAAAACAACATATAAAGACATTATGTGACCCAACGTGATGTGCACAGATTCCCTTTTAATGACTAGAATGCCGTCTTGGTTGAACATTGGGGGCTGTGGAGGTCAGGGGACCAACTCAAACTACAGCTCAGGGGATGCTGATCGCTGCTTTTGACATGTCCCGACTGCTGACTGGTGGCTTCCAGTAAAAGCCCTTAAAAACCCCTTTGCCCCGATAGTTCGGCCCGGTTTCATGTGAGTTAACAGACATTCTCGTCTCCCAGCGTGAGCTCCATGCAGCCAAGTAAAATCAGGGTCCACATATTTTTCTCCCTTTTTTTGGTCGTAGACCATGAGAGGAGGAACGGGGGGTGGGGAACTTCTTTTAAGCTTGGCCCCTCAAAATAAGATCTGGTCATATCCAATATAGTCTGCTGAAGACGGCATAATGAGGACCCCACTGCAGAGTGCACGCAGAAAGCTGCCGCCACAGAGGATACAGAAAGGACACGATGGCGCAGATAGCGTGAGGATCATCAGTGTGGCTGATGACGCGATGTAAAGTGAGCGGGTGCATTGTTGAGGTGACGCTCCATAAACGTCTACAAGAGGGGTGAGCAATGAGACGCTAGACGAGCCCCCCCTCCCTGTGCAGCTTTGTGAGGATCACGTTGAGATTTCCTCATTTATCACAGAGCCTAATGAATGCCGGGACACGGGCCAAATAAGTGTGTGTAGGATTGTCATTATGTGTCCTTTCTATAAATGCATCACACTCACCACACACACACAGGGAGGGGCCGGGGCTTTCCCCTCACGACAGACCACAGTGGCAAAAATCAATATGAAGAAAATGAATATCATTCAGCCACTGAACACAGAAAACTGTTGGTTTGAAATGATTGCACATCATTAAGTAGCCGGATGAGCAGGAATACTCTAAACAATGCTGTTTGAGCGTGAGTAATGTGGTGTTGGTAATGGACTCCAGGGGAATAGTGGAGGTAGTGATCTATGAAGCTTGTCCCCCCCCCCTCTGTCTGTCTTGCCCTCTGTTCCTGTCCCACACGCAACACTGGGGGAAACTGCCCCCTTGTGGCCTCACTTACCAAAACAGGGAAGAAGAAAAGATGCAGAACTAATTTGGGAATTTGTTCAAAAGGATCCGAGCTTCAGAACATCCATGCACCTCATTGGGGACAACAACCCTTTTTTTTAAACTTGTGTTAATAACTCCTCACTAACATGTGTTGAAAACAACACATCGTTTTCCAGAAAAAGTGTCTCCCGTACTAAGCCCACCTTTGTTTCAACTGTAAACCAGGGAAACAAAGACGCTTTTAGTGTTAAGGCACTTTTGGGAGATCTCAAGCGGGGCCTTTCAACAGCACCGATGAAACTCCCCCTCACATGAGGTCGCCACCTCTGCTCATTTCCTGTCTTGCTTCCATTAATAAGAAAGTGCACTTCAGTCCTTTTTAACAATGAATGAGTGCTGTATTTCCACGGCGAGCTAATCAGCGGTGTTTGTATTTCTCCGGTGCCGTGTTGTCTTTACTACTGTTCTTTTGGACGGGAGGGCTCGCCAGGTTCCAAAGAGCAAAAAAGGCCTTCTTTTGCTTCTGTGGTTAGCAAAGGATCCCAGTCTTCTTAAGTGCCCCAACATTTGACAGTCCGAAAGCTACACACAGGGTTCCAGGATTGTACAAATCCATGTTCATGTACAGTACTGACCATTAAAACAACTTTCAAAACCCTGCTGGTTATAAAAAAAGAAACACTTTTATCTCTTTTTCTAAGAATAAAAAAGATAGCAGAGAATCCCACACTATTATCCACAGTATAAATTACATCGTAGACAGAAACTTGGAAATATATATAGTACAGTTATATTTTACTAGAATGTTTATATTTTTGTTGTTGTTGTCTTCACAAACGGTGTGTGTGTGCATTTACGCATGTAATAAGTTTTTTCTAGGATGTGTGTGAGTGAATGCCGCCCAACTATTTGCTGCTGCATCACGTGAGGCAGAACTCTGTACTGGGCACGTTGCTGCTCTTGCAGTAGGCTATGCTGTTATTACTGAGGTGACAGTCTCTAAATCCGATGCCCCCGTTGGGTGTGTAGATGGGCTGGATGCGGAAATCTCCCTTGAGCAGCTGCTCATTGTTCAGTGCCACTATCTGGAAACTAGTCTCAGTCATTTCCAGAATGGAGTTATCCTTCTTGGTCCCTGCCTCGCCGTAGTCGTCTTTTCTCCTGCCCCGGTTGTATTTCCACTTGGTCGAAGACGACCGGCTCTTCCTGTGCATGTGCCAGCAGAACAGGCTGAGCAGCGTAACCAGGATGATGAGCACCGCCCCGCCTATGATCCCAGCCATTAGCAACGTGGAGTTGATGGTCTCCTTTGGAGCCTGCTCCCTGCCGGGAGGTTTGGTAGACACAACCGCCTTGGTCCTGGCCTCAGAGCATATAGTATCCTCTCCGGGCCTGAAGGAGTTAAGAGTGTCCAGCACATGCACGCAGATCCGATACACAGATCGGGGCTCCAGTTTGGTGAGGCTAATGTGCCGGCGGTCCCCACTCACCGTCCTCTCTCGCATTCCTTCATCTGTTTGGCTGTGGCCCATTTTGACCCAAGTGACCTTGTAGGCTGTGACGGTGAAGTAGGAAGCCCAGCTCACCTCGATGCTGGTCGAGTTGACCACGTGGAAGGAGATCTGAAGCGGATCCTCGTAAGGCGGCAGGGGCCCGGCGGGGTTGTTGTGGACTGGGGGTGAGGGAGGGGAGGGAGAGTCAAAGTAGTAAGGGATGGTTGTGGTGATGAGGGTGGAGGACATGGTGGTGATGGGGGTGGTTGTGGGTGGGGGAGGGGGAGTTGAGCGGAGGGTGGGCCAGGGCGGCTGGTCAGCTTCTACCGGGCACTCTATGATGTCCAGCGTGAGCTCTCTGATGGCCATGCCACGCACTTTGTCTGGGCTCAGGCAAACGAACCCCCGGGCGTTGATTGAGGAGGGCAAGGACTTGAGCCAGACCACCACCCACTTCACAGCACAGTCACAACGCCATGGGTTATTGCGCACCATGAGATGCCTAAGGCTTGACAGGCCGTCAAACACACCCTGTGTCAGAGTCTGAAGCTGGTTGTTGGAGATATCCAGTCTTTCCAGCCTGATCAGGTCAGCGAAGGCTGCCACGGGGATCTGGTTGATCTGGTTCTCCTGCAGGCTCAGTTTGACCAGTGACTGGCTGGGTAGGAGGGGAGGGGGGAACGTCAGTGAGTTGCGGGCCAGGGCTAGCTCACGGAGGGTTTCCAGGTCCTGGAAGGTCCCTGGTGCGATGCCCTCGTCCGTCAGTAGGTTCCCGTCCAGCAGGAGGCGCTGCAGACGTGTCACATTCTGAAAGGCCTCCTCTGCAATGTGAGCGATGCGGTTTTCATCCAAACGCAGCTCTTTCAGGTCCTCGGGAAGCCCAATGGGAACACTGCTTAAGTGGTTCTTGGTGAGGAAGAGGAGTTTGAGGCTTATGGCCTCCCTAAAGGCCCCTTCCTCCACCCCCACTGTGGAGATTGAGTTATCATCAAGGTGCAGCTCCTCGAGTCGAGTCAGCTGGGCCAGGGCCGCTTTGGAGATGGTCTGGATATTGTTCTCCTGAAGATGCAGGACCTTTGTGTTTTTAGGCAGGTTGATGGGAAACTCGTCCAGCTGGTTGCCGTAGAGATACACCGTCTCAACAGTGGCCACATTATGAAGTTCCAAAGGGAAGCCAGCATTGTTTATCTGGTTGTTATGTAGAAAGAGGACCTTGAAACCCTCCTTCATCCCAAGAGGCACTGACGTCAGGCTGCGTTCGTTGCAGTACACAAAGAGCTGGTCACAACGACACTCTGCTGGGCAAGAGGCACCCGGGCTGATTTGCATTTGGAGGCTTAGGATGACAGTCAACCAAAATTGCAAGAATGACGGCCAATCTTTATTCCAGGGTCCAGGCAGAAACTCCATAGTGGAAAACAAAACGGCAAAAGGGAAAACAAAAATATATTTTTTTAAAAGAACGAAAAAAATGAATTAAACAAATATGAAAATCAGAAAGGCGATGATGTATATATCCACCGAAAACCCGACCGACCAACAGTCCAACTGGGGAAGTTAAGTAACGATGCAGTTATCTGGAAAAGGACGTGGGAGTAATCCTGTGAATGCTAGTCCTCAGATGAAAAACAATGGTCTCATTAGTGGTGGCCAGTCCTCTGACTGACTCCATCCATGCTGAGACATCAGACCATAGCAGGACTCTTCACTCCGTGCTCCATGCAGAGCTCAGCCGGGGCCAATTTGAAGCCACGCAGTAGAGAGCCACCGCGGGCTCCACTCGCCTGTCCCTCACGCACTGCTGGCCCCCGACCAGGGCAGAGTCCAAGGGGGCTGACATTTGCATTCAGAGACCTGTGAGCAAACAAAAAAAATGCTGAATTAGTATATTTAGCGGGGGGGCCTGTTCAAAGTGGAGAAGAAAAGGGGGGCGACGGGGGGGGGGGTCTCTTTATTTGACATACAAACATGCACACACATACCAACTGTCTTTCCATCCCTCGCTCTCCCCAAAACAAAGTTAAAAAAAACACGCCGTTCACTGCCGATGACAAATCATGCAACGGCTATTTCAAAAGATAACGTCTAACGATCTGATAAATATTCAGAACAGCTCCTGCACATCCGGTTTCAGAGACATAAAGAAGGCTTTTATCCATTCCGCTGTATCAAAGGAGCAAATAGAGCTCTGCAAGGACACACACTCTCAGATTCTCACAGGTCTCACAGTATATTTCAACGGTGCTTCATGGAAAAAGAGACAAGGTTAATAACATCAAGTCTGCGCGCAAACATGGATACACAGAACATTTCCTGGTGAAAAGAAATGATTTTGACTGAGTACAAGGGACAACGCTGCAGTTTGAGATGTACCAGTAAACGCACGTGGGCTCACAGTAAACCGAGGCGATTGTTCTGCTGGTGCCCTAAAGGAGGAGCTCATTACAACGCGCAGTCCTGAACACACCAAAGTCAAAAATTTAGGCCGTCAAGAGAAGAACTACACGGCAAAGGCAATGGAGGAGCCGTGCATATCAGCTCAGCCTCTCGCCCTCGGTGACATACATGGGCTGTCAAAAGGAATGGTGTTGAAGAATAATTCAGTCCCTCTACCTGGAAAAAATGATCGATACGGGCTGCTTTTCAGCATGGAGAGGCTTGTGGTAAAGCACAAGGCCATTGGATTACTGTCGACCCCCATATCTATCATCCCTAGTTTTTTGACCCCTCAAATTTCCCCCTGCCCAAAAAAATTGAAAGAAAATGGTTGTCATGGGGGCCCCCCCCCCCCCCCCCCCTCTTATTGGATGTTGGGCGCCACGCAGTACCGGGAACCATGGGTTGAATGTTAAGCACGGAGCGGACGTGAGTCCTGCAGGGTTCGGCAGAGAGCAGGAGTAGCAAGTTGGGTCCGAAAATAACTTGGTATTTCAGATTCAGCAGGTCTGGCAGATGTCACAGGAAACTATATCTTGGGTTTTTTTTTAAGTAAAAGCCAGTAAAGGATGTATTTGCTTTGGCAGCCCTGCTTCTTCACGTTGCTTGCTTGTTGATGAGATGGAGTCTGGCCGGGCTCTACTGGCAGAGAGGGAGAATCATTCTTCGACACACATCTGTGATCTACTTTTCTAAATTGAAAGAGCTGAAATTTAATCAAATAAGCTTGGGGGGTGTACAGGTGACCACATGGGGCGATAAAATGTGCTGCCACAGCAGCAGAATCAACAGCAGAAGGCAGCAGCATCACAATTATTATAGCTCCATAAATAAATGTCACCGAAAGTCGGAATAAGAACCGTAAAAAGCTGCTGATATCTAGTTGGTCTGTGGCGGAAAACACCGGACCTCATAAATGGACACAGATACATGGAAAGATCAATCCGAGGGAGTAACAGACCGATTTTTCTCTCTTTTCCTTTTTTTTTTCTCTCATTTTGATTTAATTTCCAGTCGAGGGAGCACAGTTTCTCACCGCGAGATGAACGCTGAGATATGTGGCCGGCACAATCCGATTAAAAGTGGATTTAGTGACAGAAATGCAATTAAAAGTTTAAAATGGAGGGGGTATTGAAGGGGCGATAAAGAGGCGGATCAGGTGGGCTTCAAAGCCTGTTCACCTCAGTGAATCATTTCAAAGGGAGAATTGAAACCCGTGCGGTGCATTGAGACTGACACAGAGAAAAAGTGAAAAATGTGGAGCTTTGTAGTGCAGTAATCCTAAACTCCATGAAACGTCTAATTAACCTACAAATACATTGTCCAACCGCTTTAATTCACCTTAAGAAGGTCTTAAGAGGAAATGTCGGTCCTTGACTCCCCGACTGGAGCTACTTGCATGTGTGCAACATTTAGCAAAATGTATTCAAAATGTCATTTTGCCATTTTTTTTTTAAATGACTCAATTGAAAATCGCGTAATTTCTTCGACATTTATTTCTACAACCAACTATATGGGAGCTATAGAGAAACATCCACAGTACCTTCAGCGAGCCTTTATCCATTAAAAAACCCCGCTACGCGCTCAACTTCTCCCTCCGTCCTTCACGCGCTCCCGCGCCCCGCGCGGCGCTCCGCTCCGTTCCGCGTCAACCCGCTGCGTCCACGGAGCCGCATGTCTGCCCGCACGGGTCCGCTCGGCTGTGGCTGCGCGTCCGTCCGCACTTTTTCTGTGTGTGTGTGTGTGTGTGTGTGTGTGTTTAGTTCTCCAGCTTCACTACGGAGCTCCTCCACCTTTTTTTTTTTTTTTTTTGTTTAAACTCAACAACGCCGCCGAGGAGCGACAGAAAGCGGCAGTAGCGTGTGCGCGGCCCTCATCTCTCTCCTTTCCGCGCTCCACCCGAACGGCGAGCAGCTCTCCACGGGCCATGCCGGCCGGCCGCGTGCGTCCGCCCGTCAAAACGTGCGTCTAGAAGCCTCCTCGCGCAGCGCAGAAGCCCGGACTCCCCGCGAGATGTTTCCTCAGATGGATCCAGTTGATAGTGCGACGTGTGAGCTCTGCTCAACTCTCTCTCTCCCTCTCTCTCCCTCCCTCTCTCTCTCTCTCTCCCTCCCTCCCTCGTCCTCCCCTCTTCGCAGTGAGGAATGTCTCCTCCTCGCGCCGTCAGGGCTGATCCACAGATGCTCCCCCGCTGCTCGTACATGACATTTTCCCGGCCCCCCTTTGCCGCCTTTCCCACCTTTGCCGCCTTTCCCACCTTTGCCGCCTTTCCCGCCTTTCCCTGAGACCACGTCTGTGCAGCCATTTGCATTTAATCAGGGAAATCTATTAATTCCACTGAGTCACAGTAAAAAAAAAACCTCTATATACCGGTACACCGGAGGGGGGGCACCGTGTCCTTGGAGGGCCTTATTAGCGCTGTTTTGAGGGAATATGTGTTGGGCCTGGCCTGCTGTAGGACCACTAACCCCGGCTCTTTTTAATTAGCTGGATAATTATCGACGAGGGAGCAGCCGTCTCCTCTTCGCTGTCCTCCGGTGATTTGAGGCCTTTAGATGCAGCCGAAGCGGTTTCACCGCGTTACACCGATTCAGCACTCCAGCTTTAAAGCTGTTGTTTAATAGCACATTCGGACATATATAATAGGACACTCCTCTTGTAGATAATTTTATATATTTAAACATTTAGGAGAAACTGTTTTAAAGTTGAAATGAATTTAAAGTGAGTGTGCTACAAAAGCTGCTCTTCAGCTATTAGCTTAGCCTGGCTAAACATAGTCCAACTTTAGTATTCACTTTTTCCAAAAAATCTACAGAGTCTGTGAGTGGACTTACAGAGAAACAAATGAATACAAGTTGTTGATTTTCATGATTTTGAATGAACAAAACGCTTCCCACTTTTTGATTAATTTGTGATCTGTAGTTAAGTGTATATTCATAGAGACAGCTGACCAGTCTTTGTCCCAGAAGCAGGACGTGGGGTGCAATGGATTCAAGTATCACTATCTGACAGCATATTGCCAAAGATATTATATACGAGTCTGGTAATTGCCTTTTATTTGCAATAATCCTGTGCAATGCAAGTGTCAACATGCCTTGATAACTTATCCCCAAGCTTGTCTAATGAAAGTCTGTCTATCCAGACTAACCTAAACCAAGGACAACCACACACAGGTGGCAGATGGAATCAATGACTTGGCCCTGTGCACTGCCAACATTAAATAACTATTTAAATTAGCCCATGAATTAACAATTTAAGTTAATTAAACTCACGCCATGAATTATGACTCCTTAATTAGAACCTGTTTTTATTCCCTGTGTGTCAAACGCATACACTTTGTTCCACAACACACCAGGCGGTGATTAGTTTCTTTAGGAGACTTGAACCTATGCAAGGCAAAATGTTCAGAGATGCTTTTAAAGTGTGTTTAGCTCAGGAAAGTGGTAAAAAGTCCCCTTAGGTAAGGATAATTGGGACAATCACAGGACTTTCACTAAGGAGACCGCTGCAAAACAAATTCTTAGGTTCCTCGGTATAAACAAATGTCTCCATAGCGCCCCCTAGAAATGTGGAGAGTACCACAAAAGGCCAGTCCGCCCCTCCCCGATGCCCAATTGATAGAAATTTGGCACACATGTACTCTTGGACATTCTCTTCAAAAAAGTCAATCATGGTATTTAAATGCACCTAATTAGATTTTCTGCCATTTGGAATTTTGCCCAAAACACATTTTTGCCCATTTCTCCTAAACGCTGTGTCGGATTTGTCACAACATTTTCCATGAATCATTATTCAATATCCCCCCGAAAAAATATTAAACCATGTGAGTCTGGTGTTTTCGCAAAAATGCACAATTGGCTTTGGTCTTTGTCTTCACAATGTTCACTTTCACTCAAGCAAATTGTTTAGTTGGAATCATCAATCACTTAACCAAGCGTTTTAAAGTGGGTTTTGACCAAATTTCTTTGGTTTTGAATTTTTTTGTGGTGGTGATACAACAAATTCACTTAAAAAGAATTATAAAGTAACAAACAGCAACTAGCCTCCATTAGTTTGCTAATTTCCACTTTCGGAGTGTAATATCAATTTAGCAGCTTAAATGTTCAATTATGAAAAAGATTAAAAAAAAAAAAGATCAATTACTCACAAAAAAGAGGATGACTGTCCCTTAAGAAAAGACTGACGCTGTCATGTTTACTTTGCATACAGCCAAAGCTGGGGTCAGAGGCCCACAAAGTCACATGACTCCCATGGGTCATGAGGTGCGCGTTAGCCTTTGTTCTCTTCCTTCAGTTGCCAAATAGTATTAATGTAGCTCTCCGACTCCTGGTGACCCACTTCAATGTAAATAATTCATGAAAGGTCCGGCAACAAATGATGCGGCTCCCGCTCAAATAGCCAATGTCATTCTGTCCAAT